CAGGAATGGAGATTCTTCGGGGTATGTTTGTGATATGGTTATCTACACTTTCTATTTTACACAAGATACTTAATTTATGTGTATATTACTACTATATTTTACTGAAATAATGATGCTTCTTGTAGCACACTCTATGCCCAACTAAACCAATGCGTTACTGCATTTGGAAAGAGATTGCTAAAGACATGGCTTGCAAGACCATTATGTCATGTGGAGTCAATTAAGGAACGCCAAGAAGCTGTTGCAGGTTTGAAGGTAGGTTTATTGACCATGTATTTCTCTTCTGATTCTGATGATCCTTCATGATACAATGAACTTTATGGATGCCCTGTTGCTATTTTATATCATACACCATTTAAGTCAAGCAGGGCTCTAAAGCTCAAGATTTTTTTTTTGTTAATGTTAGCTATACTTATTTATTCTTGTTTGTATCTTTTTAGTATTGCTTGTCTTATTTTTGGATGTTCAATTTCTCAACTTTTGATATCATTTTCTGGACTTTAACTAGCACTAGTCATGGGAAATTGTGTTCATTTGAAATAAATCTGAGAACACATCTTATCATGTTTGTTTGTGTTTATTATATAATTACCAGACTCTTCTTTCTGGGGAAATGTACCCTTGTTCCATGTAGACCCCAGATCTAGCAGTTTATTTGATTTTCTGTGTTCAATAATATATAATATGGTTGTCTTTTTAAACGTGTATTGGAAATGTGCTTTTCTATTTATGTTGCTTTTGAACTGATACAGATAGAAGGTTGGCTGTTGTGTACGGTGTTGACATCTACAAGATGATACAGTGGCTATATTAAGCTGATGATAATCATCAGATAGAAAATCAGTGCATAATATTGATTGTTTTTTGAGATATGATTTGTTTTTCAGGGAGTTAATCTACCTTCTGCACTAGAATTTCGAAAAGCATTATCCAAGCTACCTGACATGGAGCGGTTGCTTGCACGCATCTTTTCCTCTAGGTAAGAATTATTGCACACAACTATGTATGATATTTATATGAACTGTCCTGATTGTCGTCATCTTGTAAAATCTAAAGTCTTTAACTATATATGCACCTTGATCTTCATGAATGCAGTGAAGCTAGTGGAAGAAATGCTAACAAAGTGGTTCTGTATGAGGATGCATCCAAGAAGCAACTGCAAGAGTTTATTTCAGCTCTGCGTGGTTGTGAACAGATGGAACAAGCGTGCTCTTCACTTGGTGTCATTTTGAATCATGTCAAATCCAGACAACTTCATAATCTGTTAACACCAGGTACAGTAGTCTCAATAAATACGTCATGAAATTATTCTGGAGCTGCATTTTAATGTATTGAATGGTGCCAACTTCAGGTAAAGGTCTTCCTGATGTCTGTATGGATCTCAATCATTTCAAGGATGCCTTCGATTGGGTGGAAGCCAATAACTCTGGGCGTATAATACCTCGTGAAGGAGTTGACACAGAGTATGACTCGGCCTGTAAGGCAGTTAAAGAGATTGAGTCCAGTTTATTGAAGCATCTCAAGGAACAAAGGAAAATACTTGGAGATACATCAGTAAGATCTATAGTCAAAGCAATTGGAGTTTAATATTTTTTATATTGCTTAAAATCAAATTTTGAATGTACTTATTCTATTACAGATTACTTATGTCAGTGTTGGAAAGGATTCATACCTATTGGAAGTGCCAGAAAATTTGAGTAGGAATATTCCTCGGGATTATGAACTGCGTTCATCCAGGAAAGTAAGAAGACGCACAATGTTTTGAAGACTTATCTCAATTAAATGCAAATTCGTTAGATTATGTATTTGAGTCTACAACAATATTTCATTGTCGAAAAATATTAACACATTCACTAACACACTATTATTGATTTGAATATTAAAAATTACAAAATCATGAGTGAAACTCGTTAAAGAAGTGAGACCCACTAAATTATGTTTTTTTAAAGTAGATTCCAACCAATTGCAGAGTGTCTCCATTTGCTAGCTCTGTTTCATTGTTTGTCAGCTTTTCTTGTAAATAATCGCGCATACTTTTATCCCGAGTTATCTTTTTACACAAGAGTATACTATCATGTTGCATCACATTAAAAAAATTAATCCCTGTGAAATTGTTGGTTAGTCCTTGATACATTATATTCTGCATATACCAACTATGGACATAAATGAATTTTTCTCTCATTTTCCCTATCCGGTATATGCAGGGCTTTTTTAGGTACTGGTCTCCAGATATTAAATTGTTTTTGAGACAGCTCTCCCGAGCTGAATCTGAAAAGGAGTCCTTGCTTAAAAGTACACTTCAGAGATTAATATCGCGTTTTTGTGAACATCACACTAAGTGGAAGCAGTTGGTGTCCACAACTGCAGGTACATACTGTGGCCCTTCCCAGTCATTTTGTCATCCATAGCTCACACCCACTTAAGTTCACAAGTGGTTTTTAAGATTGTTGATGTATGATACTTCAATAGATGTATAAACTAAAACTGGTAGTCATTTTTAATGTAATGGCTTTCCAGCTGCCTGTGGAGGGAATTTAGTTTATCTTAAAAATAGTATCTTCTGCTCAATAATAAGGTGACTATTGGATTAAAAGGAAAAGTACATAATTTGGAGAATATGCATTTCTGTCGTACATGCTTCGTGTAATGCTGTGTAGTTTATCTTCTGCTTTGTGTAATGCCTGTTTACATTTACAACCTATATTTCTTCAGCTGAAATCAATTTCTATTTTTCGGCCATTTTATTTGATTCAATATGAGCCTTGCACTCGAGTTTTTACAAGATGGATTTTTGATGCTGCATGTAAATATAAAATCAAAACCTTTTATTTTACATGGCTTAAATTGGTTATTACATTCACATGTTGCAGAACTGGATGTCTTGATCAGTTTAGCTATTGCTGGTGACTACTATGAAGGACCAACATGCAGACCTAATTTCATAGGCACATTATGCACAAAAGAAGCTCCTTACCTCCATGCTAAAAATTTGGGACACCCAGTCCTTAGGAGTGATACCTTAGGCAAGAGTGCCTTTGTACCCAATGACATAACCATTGGTGGTCCAGATCATGCTAGCTTTATTCTTCTAACTGGTCCTAACATGGGTGGGAAGTCAACTCTTCTTCGTCAAGTTTGCTTGACTGTAATTTTGGCCCAGGTGAAGCTTTAAAGTTGTGTTACATTTCTCATTATCTATTCTTTATTTGCCTTTTTTTAAGGGAGGGGTGGGGCGATTGTGTAGGAAGGTTGGCCTTGCCTGCTGAGTCTTGTCTTAAATAAGCCAGTTTTTATCTGTGGATTTATGCTTTTAATTTCTTATGCAGGTAGGAGCTAATGTCCCAGCAGAAAGTTTTGATTTGTCACCTATTGACCGGATTTTTGTTCGAATGGGGGCCAAAGATAATATAATGGCTGGCCAAAGTACATTTTTAACTGAGCTTTCAGAAACTGCACCAATGCTGGTAAGTTGTCCCTTTGAGTATCAACTTGTATCACTGGTAATTAAGGTTAAATAGGCATAAAATTTGGCTGCTCTCAAGTCACTAGACAGCGCCTGTGAAATAGTTGTATTTCAAGTGATGTTTTCTTCTTTTGAATCTGAACAAGATTATTTGGTTTATGATAGACTTTTTTCTCTAAAATGTAAGCAGCAATGAATGACACAACTTGGAGGAAGAAAACTTTTGCCTTTGCATTTTTTTCTTTAGAGCTCACTTATTTATATAATTATATGTTTTGTCCGCAATGGATTAATTAGTTGTGTGTATTTCGTGAAGCTTTATTAGCCCTTTTATTTGGCTTGTTATGGGTCACTGATGTGTTTGAATCTGATCTTATTAAAGCATTGTTTCTTTCTGAATATGTACTTTTGATGGTGAGTAGTCATCAGCCACACGTAATTCATTGGTGGCTCTGGATGAGCTTGGGCGAGGGACTGCAACTTCTGATGGGCAAGCCATTGCGTAAGTGTCTATTGTGGAATTAGTTGGACATGCTCTTTTCCCTTATGTATTCTTATTGATTTCATAGCTTCTGGTGAGTTCATCTCAGATTCTTCCTTCTGTATTTCAAACATTTGTCAGGGAATCCGTATTAGAACATCTTGTGCGAAAGGTGCAATGTCGGGGATTGTTTTCTACACACTATCATCGATTAGCTGTAGATTATCTCAAAGATCCCAAGGTATTCTCAGTTTTTTGTCCAGTGTAATCATTACTGTGGTACTGTGCTAAATTGAATTCATGGTCTAATGCTTGTAAGAAGCATTTAATCTCCCTACATTAGTTTTGTTAATTTACTTGAGTGCCCATAAGATTGCCAGTCATGTCCTATTTAGATACGATGTCCTATAGAAAGTTTACGTTATATTTTAGTAATTTGTTCTACCTACTGTTTTGGTCAATTTTAGTTTGGAAACTTAAATCATATTTCTGAATTAGCTTTTTGTGCTTGTAAAGGTCAGTCTCTGCCACATGGCATGCCAAGTTGGTACTGGAATTGCAGGTTTGGACGAAGTCACCTTTCTTTACAGGCTTACCCCTGGTGCTTGTCCCAATAGCTATGGTGTTAATGTTGCTCGGATAGCTGGTATGTTTTTGTTGTTTTGCAATATCACTAACATGGATTGTGCTCCTCTTATATTTTCTGACCGTAAAGTGCCAAATTATAACTGGTGATTAGAAACTTATTATTTAAGAATTTAATAACCTAGCGATTATAAGATGTATTTGATCACAACTTCAACCATTAATTTTCCAATCATAACGTCTTTTGGGTCACTCTGGATTCTGTAAAACTGTAAATGAGTGATCGAGTGTCATGTTGATTTTATTGTTTGGTACAAATGTGCCAAGCCTCATTATTCTAATGTGTTGTATAATTATTAACAAATTCATATGATAATAAAGCAAAATAATTTTTTTTCAGGGCTTCCATCTTCCGTGCTTCAGAAGGCTGCTGCAAAGTCCAGAGAATTTGAGGCCACTTATGGTAAATGCAGAAAGGTGTCTACTGAAACAAACCCTCCCAATAAAAATTGGCTTGATGAGATAGCAGTTATCATACAAAAACTGAACAACGCTGCTACAAATTTGAGTTGCCAGGAAGCCATTTGCGTCGGTTCCCTAAGTGAACTTCAGGATAAAGCAAGAGAACTAATGCTGCGATGTTAAACTATTTCAAGAGTTTGTCATCCGGCATCCAGATAACAGTAGTAATTCATTCTTTTGAGAAGCAAGCAATTTTGTGGCCGTATTCTACGTTGATATCGATTCTGTAGGAAATGGCCTTGTATGTTGGTTGTCCAACAAGTTTTGTTTAGCGCTGTGCTTGTAAATAGTTACGGATAAAACGGTGATACGATACGAGTTAAACTAATAGATAACTAGATTGAAGGCTCTGACCCATTGTACATGTTGAGCAGGTTATCCAATAGATTTTTGAAGTCAATATAAATGTTGCACAAGTTATTACTTTATTTATTTTATTATAAATTATCCCGCAAAATATTTGAATTTGACGAGCATCATCATAATGCTCTGATACACTAAGCAAATAATCTAGGAATTTACATTATGCCGTCTCATTTTCGTCAGATGTTGACGTGTCATAGTCAGGATCCTGACAGTTCTGAATGGCGCCGATTGTCTTAATTATTATGTACATGGGTATAATAATTCCGGTAGCCTTTAATATAATGACCTGCATCAAAATAGTATACCAAGTTTCTTTAGTCTCTAGCATTCCGTAGGCAAAGGTTTGATTTAAATAAAAATTAAAACGGTAAAACAACTACTCACAGTTAGTAGAGTAAATGGGTAATCTTCCGTTCCATTTGTAAGCACTGCGAAAAGATGTCTTACAAGTAAGACTAGTGTAAACTGCAGAAGTAACGTAGTCAGTTAATTTTTCAGCATGTCTGTCTACACGTTAACGGGTAAATGGAATTAAAGTTTGCTGAAGCTTAATCCAAGAGCCACATGAAAGAAAATGCCGGGGCTGCGTTGGCACCCAGTTGGCAATAGCGGTGTCTGAGTGGACTTTGACAAGTGCAACACTGACAACATTGGAATGAAGAGTGGAATATGAATTTTATTAAGATAATGCTTACAGCTATAGCTAGTGATCGACAGCAAGACGCGCTTCTGTCAGCGGCTGAGCTGCATTCAGAGTACTCGCTTTCTATTGCAACTCCTTCAACCATAATCTCTATTCTTCCGTTTGATGCTTCTTCCTCATCCCTATAAATATAAATTCACATTTTTTTATTACTTCACTAGTTAAAAGTGCACTTTGATTCAATTACATTATATTATGGAAAAGTACCTAATGGACGTTGCTTCATCATTTATCTTAGACTTCTTTGGCGGAACTGTGTATCCGGGTTCATATTGCTGCAAAACCAAAATTAATATATCAATTTGCGCTCATCTAATACACCCAACCTTTCTATCTATTGCTTTTTTTGGAGGTAAATACATCATTATACAATACGATATAAATGGGGCTCGGTTCAGTGAATGTACGATAAAAAAATTCAGCCCCCCTTTTTCCTAATATATCAAATTAAAAAAATAAATATATCAGAGTAAGTCCGTTTATATCCTATTGTATACTAAAGTCTAAAACGGAAAGCCTTCAAAATTGAGCAAAAGCCAAATACAAAAGCAACTGCACTTCGAAAGGAACTTGTTATCGTTTCTATGTCAAAATCAGACAGGGAAGCGCACCCAATCACACCGATAACTCTCTTCCATTTTTTGAAAAAGAACAAAAAACTAAATTGATTGCCATCTAGAAATCAAATTAGATTATAGCTAAATAAAACAACATGAGAAAACATGATGCACAGAAAATAAAATTGAATGAGCCAAGTTTATACCTGGAGACATAATTCACATGTTGTATTTCCTTTCTCGTTGCACCATCTCTGTATGCAATCTCTATGAGCAAACTGCACAACAAAGGCGCTGTTATCGATGAGAATTAAGAAAATTCCAGGAATCATACACACAAAAAAAAACCACTTGGAAATATGTATTTACTTACCTTAACGGTCCCAGAACAAGCACAAGGTGCTTCCATGGTTTCTGAGCTTTCAAACTCTTCTTCATGACATATTCTACAACGAGGAACCCCAGAAAGTAATTTCAAATCATCGACTAGCAAGACAACCTCTGCCATATATTTCAACCCAATGATCTCTGTTTCTTCAAATTTCAGCCTTTGTTTTCAAATTTTGTCCGCTACTCTGTTTTTCTTTTCCTTTCTATGCTCTCTCAGGAATCTCAAGCTTATATACCAAAGATAAAACAATTAGAGTTCCGATATTGCCCCCCTCTTTTTTTATTTTATTTTTAAATTAATGACTTCATTTCAAAAGAACCTAACCACGAAGGCTAGCTTTGACCTTGCCTAAAGGGACTTGCTTGCAATACATGATCAAACAAAAAGTTCCTCTAATAATACCCTTTAGGTTTCAGGTTGTAAAGATTGTTGAACAACCGAGTAATTTTATTCAGATTCCTTGCTTATAATAATAAATATAAATAAAAAAAAAGTCTTAATCCGTGGCAAATTGGGAAAATAGAAAAAGAAAGGGGAAAGAAATGTATATTTTTCTATTCTTTTGTAAGGAAAGCATATCTAGGAGTGAAATAGAGCCTATCATACCACGAAGATATCTATTTTGTTAATTTATTTAGATTTTAACCTATCTACTATACATTTTAGAATATGTTTCATTTATTAGGTGATCTTTTCAATTTTCCTGTTGTTTGGTCAGATATGCATGCGTTGACAATAATTCTGAAATCCCAATGTGCACCCAACTAACTATTGCCTGTCGTAAATGTTATTTTCTTTTTTATCACTTCCCATTTTCTGGTTGCACAAATGCAAAGTAGAAAATTACAAATGGAAATTTGTTCTAGATTCACTTTTTTTTAACAGTAGAATCAGTGGTTGCTATTACCAAATTAGTAATTCGCTTTTATCAGATTTGGTGATAAACCAAAGTAGTATCTTGGAGAAGGTTGGAAAATTAAGCAAATAATTAATGATGTTGAGTAATTGTCTAAATTCTTACCCATTGGTTACACACTTGCACGTGTTACGTGAAAAAGAGTAAACATTTTCTTACATTAGGTTACACGTCCTATTTAAATAGGGAGCTAAGTATACACCAAATATATGGATGATTTCACATCCATCTATGTCTAGAAAAAGAAAAGAAATACATGGGTATGGCTTCAATTAAATGAACCAGGGATTAAAAAGAAAAAGAAAAAACAAACGGGATGAAACATCCTGTGCACCTTTTTATTTGTTTATTTCTTGTTGGGAGGGAAGGGGGCAAGATTGCAAATAATTGCATCTACGAAACGAAAATTTATGAGACACAGATACTTTTTTCCTAGTGACCCTCCAAGTACAGTTCGAAAATTGCCCTTTACAGGTTTAAAATCTGGGACCTATGATCCTTCGCCAACGGTAACAAACGTTCAAAACAAACTGAAATTTGAAATCATGGACCCCGCTTTTTGGTTAGATTAATCAGTAATCACAAACGCGCCCTAACGCATCATTAGACTTGTTCGGTTTCGGTGTTCCTCCTTTACACGCCAAGCTTTTTAGAATCTTTGGATTTTTTTAGGTGATGAATAGTGCATGGATAAGGAAATTATTCAGTAGTTCAACTATTTCTTAATTCATGAAAATAGTTCAATTACACACCCTACATACGTATGTGACAAATGACATGGTATTATTAATGTTGTTATTAGATCTCATGCATGCAATTTCCTTAACAAAATCGATTTCAAAATTGTCTGCCGTGTGAAGAAAAGAAAAAGCAACGCTATTTAATCCGTTTCGTAAGCTGACGCACGTGCTTATCCCTTTCTGGTTTGTTCTTATCGTTCCCTTCGAAACTATGTGGATTTATCCAACAATTATGAGCAATCCTTGTCATTTAGAAGATTCACAACTCACAAATCACAACTAATGGGGATTGAATTTGCACTTTCTTATGGGTGCTTTTCTATAAGCAAGTGGTCGCCACTCGCCACTCTGTGGGGACAATAACCTTACGTTGAGAAAACTGTACCTCATCTATCCAACTTTTAATTCTAATTTCACACCTAACCATCCTGTTATTACCCATTTCCTCATCAGTAATCAACTCTTTTTATTATTATTATTATGAATTTCATTCATTTAAGTTTTAAAATTAAGTAATAAACATGTTATTTAAAATTAAATAGAAAATATTGAGCAGTGTTTACGAATTATACTACATGCAGATGCAATTAATAGTGTATCACATGAGAAAATAGTAGTATTAAAAATTAAAATTAAATTATTCTATTAGATTATAAATTTCTATTAAAATTAAAAAGAAAAATAATATACGTTGTAAAAATAGTGCTATTACTTTTTCTTATACGAAAGTCAATCCGATTAAGAATTATTTTAGATACAAACTTGTAAAGACTTTTAAGAGTTTATTTATTAAGAAATATTTTTTATTTTTTATAAAAAATTAAACTTTCAAAAATATTTCTAACTCATAAGAAAATAGACTTTAAGTAACTATCAAGTTATAGTACTCACAAATACATTAGTTTTTAAAGTTTAATTTTGAATGAAGTGTTAATAGTAGATCAATACTACTTAACTTTGAAATCTAGAGATTCTAAATTTGTAATAAAAAAATTTGAGACCAAAATTACACATTTTCAAAATTTTAAGGACTAAAAATAGATTTAAGTTTAAAAAAAAAAAATTGGGGATAAGAAGAAATTAACTTCCATGCTAATTGTTAATTTAATAATGGTAACTTGAAAAAGTTAGTAAACCGATAGAGTGATTTACCTTGCCTAATAGAATCATTGTAATGTATAGAAGTTGGAGATATTTGGTGGTGGTTTGAATTGAAAACGAAGTTTGTTCCGAACCGTTAGATCAAGCAAATGCTGTCACTGTTGAGTTTAGTTTAAGCTAAGTCTTCTATAATACAACCAAAACATGTCCTCTAATAAACAGAATAAAGGGGGAGCAAAGCAATCACTCACCCAAAGTTTGCAAATTAAACTCTTTTGATAAAGGAGTGCAAACTAGAAAGGTATCCTTAGTTGTTGAATGCCGATGGCTTAGCTTCAAAGTTCATGCATTTCTATGGATAATATCGTTAAGATTAAGGTCATATAATATAAGATAAATACACGAAAGGTGGAATATCTTAGATAAGATGGTTCATATATATCTGTAAATTAAAGCATTTTTTTTTGTCACAACTTAATAGTCTATTCCCAATTTCCCGTAAGAGGAAAGTATAGTATATGGGCCAATGTCAAAGCTCTGTTGCTCCACTTGTCTGGGCCTTTATTGGGTACTATCACCCCCCAATCAGCCAATACCAGAAGGAGGATACTATTTGCAACCTACCTTTTGCTTTTTACATTGCCTACCTTTTTCTGATATGTATTTTGGACTGGTGTGACTCAGTAATTTTAACTACGTTACTAGGTTACCGAAACTAGATTTCGAGACGTAAAAACTACATTACAAAATTTAATTTTTACAAGATTGGTAAAAAGTGAAAAAAAAATAAAAATGGAAGACCAATATGACTTTTAGAGTGAATAAAAGAGAGAAAAATAAGACAACGGGTGCGGTGGGGAGATTGACGAGAGGGGGAGGAAAGATAGATAGTTTGAATATTTTAAAAAGTACGGGAAAATGAGAGGGGAGTGAGAAGAGTAAAAACAAAGAGTGCTAATAAATTAAAAGTAGCTCAAAATTAGTCATTTAATTTATTGATTTAGGAACTTTTAGTGTTACATTGGGTCAAAGACAAATAATAAAAAAAATATTTATGATTGACTTATTACATTTTTATTTGTTATTGTACTCGTAAGAGTGAACAATGTTATTGTGGACTAAAAAGAAGAGAGAGATTAATAAAAAAGAGTTTGATAATGAGTTAATTATGTTTGAAAATCAATTTGTAAGTAAGGTGAACAAATTGAACTAAATTAAACTAGAATTAAAAAAATTGTATTGAGCTAAAAATAAAGTTCGCTCAAATTGAACTTTAAAAATTTGAACTGAACTACAATTTAAACTAAATTAAATTATTTTGGTTATTTGAATTGAGAAAAGTAAAAAAGAAAAAGAAAAAAAAAGAGTGCAAATATAATTCTCTCACCATAAATTAGAAGTAGCTTCATTTTGACTAGTCTCGTTCAATTTTATTGATTCAAAGACTTTTATATTTACATTGGGTTGGAGAGAAACAAAAAAAAAGTTCCATGATAAATTTATTGCATCTCCATTTGTTGCTTTTCTCTCGAAAGTGAACAATGTTATCGTGGGTTAAAAAGAAAAGAGAGAGAAACATTAATGAATAGAGTTTGATAACGAGTTGACTATGTTTAGAAATCAATTTGTAACTAAGATGAACAAAATGAACTAAACTAAAATAAACTTATAAAAATTGTATTGAGTCTGAAATAAAGTTCATTTGAACTAAACTGAATTTGATATTGATTCAAACGAACTAAACTTTAAATATTTGAACTGAGCCACAATTTGAACTAAATTGAGTTGTTTTGGTTATTTGAATTTGAACAATGTTATTTTGGCTTTTTAGTTTGTTAAAGAAGCCAAATTCTCCTATTTTATTTTATTTTCTATTTTTACTTAAATTTTTAAAAGAAAAAATATATAAAAAAATATCATACCAAATAAAATCGGTAGGCTTTGAGCCTAAAAATTAGTAGTCCCAACTTAATTTAATTAGTCTTCTAAATTTAACGAAATTGAAACAATTTTTTTAAGTCATTTTTCTCGAAACCTAGGTTGTTGGGCCATCAGGCCAATCTATCGAATAAACTATTTTTGATATATTTAAGTTTATCCTTTTTTTTTTGCTTAGACCTTCTTGCACACAAAATATGTTAATATATGAATTTAGATTATCTCATGTGCCATTTTTGTCTAGTAAAATCTCAGTTAAATAAAAATGAGAGAAGATTTAAATAATAAACAAAGAAAGGTATAAAGTTTTAAAAGTGAAAATTTTCATTGAAAAAAAATAAAGTAAAAATCTCGCATGAGAGAATCCTTTCCCGTTAATATACACCTAAAAAAAATTGAAAACTAATATATTTAATATGTATTTGATATGATAAGAGGGAGAAGATATTATATATATATATATATATATAATAAGGGATCTATTTATTTTAGGAAAAAATTTACTTAGATTTATTTCGTTTAATAATTC